GCTCATAATATAACATTAATTTAATAGTTTATTATTCCGATATTTTTAGACAAATATCTATATATATATTTATAAATTGCTTATATTTCATTTCATTTAAAACTGCATTTTTTAAATTATTATCTGTACTCTCTTGATTATCTACAAAAATAGATAACTGTAGAAAAAATTAATAATTTATGATAATATATATATATATATATATATATATATAATATTATAGTAATATAAGTATGCGTACTTATTTATGAAGCATTTATATTCTAAATCATAAATTTAGTAGTTTATTATTCAAATATTTTTATTAAAGATCATAAATTAATATCAAAAGTCGATAATGTCGCTACTCTTCAATTATCTTCGGGCCCTTTAGGCACTCTTGGTCACGAAAATTTGTCTAAGCATTGACAATCTTTAATAGTATCTCGTTAATGCTGAATGTCACTTCTGGGCTGGAATTCTGTACTCACCTACCGACAACTACTCGGTATCGTTAACTAACGACAGCCAATGACAGCCGCATTTTTCCAAGATCGTCCTTGCCATTGGCTGTTGTCATTAATTAACGACATCGACAGTTGTCGATGGACATGTACAGAATTCCGGCCTGGTTAGGCCTACAATGTGTCATGTATCGATATCATGGATCGTGGACCGTAAGAATGGGCCAATCACAATCAAGTATTCTCTCCACATTCGTCTGTGATTGGTCAATTCTTGTGGCTTGAATACCGGCATGCAACGTATTGTAATTCTTTCTTTTTCCAGTGTAAGAAAGAAAGATAAATTGTGAACTAATACAACCCTTTGACTATACAAGTATGGACCATGATGGAAGGTATACATAGTGTGTGCAGTTTGGTCAAACCACATCCATTTTCGCTCTGAGCCGTCTATAATAAGAAAATACTACCAACTGTGAAAAGTAAAAGTAGTTTAGCGTTATCAAATTGGTATGCTGGATTTACTGTCCTTGTTTCACGCACTTTCTTCGAGCGATTTCTTTTTCTATCTGTTCCGTGTGTACACACTACTCCGTTTTGCACGTGGATAAGTGTTATTTTCGTTCGCGAGAATTCAAAAAATTTATGTAAGACTGATGGCAAAGAATGAGACATAAGCGCTTACGTTTAGTGTAAACGTAGATGCAGGTTAAGGACAGAAAAAAACGTATACATAAGTGTCGGTCCACAATAAGTGATTTAAGCTTTAAGAAGTAAGAAATTGACCAATCATAATCAAATATGAAAAGAATAATCGACTATGATTGGTCAATTTCTTACGACTTAAAGATTAATTACTTATTGTGGATCGACCTTAGTGTCGGTTTTTTTAATGCAAATTTCCTTTATTCTTCATTGCAGCAAAATGGCCAAAGAGTACATGTGAACTTTAAAATACTTTATTTAGATATTCATTGGAGTCATGCTGTTTTAGAAAAAAAAACTGCTTAAAATGTTAAAAAAAGTTTGTCATTTTTATAATTATTATATATAGTATTTTAAGATTTTTTATTATTATTATTTACATGCAAAGTATCAAAATATTTATGTAATTTGTAATCATTTTTCTCTATGCATATCATAAAGATTTGAAGTTCGAAGTTCGAAAGAATGATCATTCGGCTGAAAATCCTCCCAATAGAGATTATAAATTATTTTATATTAATTATCAATACTGTCATTGTTTGTTTAATTTTTTATTCAATATTTAATTTAAGACAGAAATCATGAAGATTAGAAAGAGAAACTACGACGCATTATAAAGTGTGTGAAACAAGGAGAGATTCAGCATACTAACTTCTCGGCGCGAAATATATTCGCGTTTCATAGTTGATAGCTCTTGCCTATTACAAGCAGTCAATAGACAGTACAGATATTTAGAAAGAGACACTATCGAACTGCGCACACCATGTATTCCTTCCACCATGCGAACTGCCCTCCACTTTTCCCATGTTAAAAGCATATGTCACTAATATCGAGATATTTTGAGATTTAGGCTCTGCTCCCAAATAGCGGATAATTAAAAAATGAAATAAGGATTTTCGTAAATGAACAGATATATTTTATTAACATATTATAAAAATTATATAATAATTTATAAAATCATGTACTAATTAAAAACAAATATAAAATACATAAAAATATTATTTATTGTTCTTTAAATATAACAATTTTGTTAACGTGTGTCGAATGAAAAAACTGTGTTTATTTCTTGTTTCACCCTCCAAAGTATCGCATTTTAACGTTATTATTACGTTTAATAAGTTTGTGCAATCAATTTAATTAACTCCTATTTATGATTTTCAAGAATATGCAAGAGTATATAATCGTCAAATGAAATGATATGAACTGACCAATCACTCACGCTTCAATGACGTCACGCATTTTAGTTCATGGAACATAGTAGTGCCACTGTTCAAATTAATGTTGGCATCACAAATAAAGTGAGCTACTAGCAGTTTATATTTATATAATCAAAGGTACAACCAGTTCAGCTGAAAAGAACAGACCTACTATGGTATAAAGTTCAGTATTGCCTTCCTACGAAAATTCTATCGATGGCAGTTAGACAGCAAAATAAGTAAAAATGGCGGTCACCATGGATTCTGTACGTGAAAAAGCTCTTCAAGATTATCGAAAAAAATTATTGGAACACAAAGAAGTTGAATCGCGTCTCAAGGAAAGTACGATACTTTTATATATTAATATTATAAATTTTGTATCTAAAGTTTTATTTATATGATATACATTGAAGTATTATAACCTCACATTTCCTTTACTAAACTTATTTTATCTTAAAATCTTTCATGTGATATTAATATTGATATATTTTTCTCGACTATATTTTATATTATATCATAAATGATGTATTTTCCAGTGAGAGAACACCTTAAGGATCTGACAAAACAATATGATAAGTCTGAAAATGATTTAAAGGCATTGCAAAGTGTTGGACAGGTATTGACATTTGTATTGTCAAAATATAATCAATAATATATTATCTTTCTATTTTATATTTTACAAACATTTTATCTTACAGATTGTTGGAGAAGTGCTAAAACAACTTACAGAGGAAAAGTGTAAATATATACATATATACATAAACATATGTGTATATATAAATATATATATATACACACATACACACACACACACACATATA